TTTTTACATATTTCAACATTCAGAATTCCTTTCCTCGGTTTCATAAAACAGATAGAAGGTTTAGTAGACTAGATCTAATATATAATTATATGCTTAAAAGTCTGCTTTCCCCCCTGTCACTGTAAAATAATACAGTATTCATTTTTTTTTTTTCCATAATTGAAATCAGAGCTGGTTTGATTTAAATTAGTTGATTTTTAACATTTTAATCAACTTGATTTTTACAAATAAAGATCAGTGATTTAAATCACTTTTTATAAAATGTATTCTGTTTTTACATATATTTAAACATTCAGAATTCCTTTCCTTGGTTTCATAAAACAGATATAACGTTTAGTAGACTAATATAATCATGCTTAAAAGTCTGCTTTCCCCCCCTGTAAGCTGTAAGTAGTAAAATAATACAGCATTCAATTTACTTTTTTTTCATAATTGAAATTAGCATTTTCTTTTTCTTTTTAGACAAACACAAGCGCACACGCACACACACACACACTGTAATAAAATGCAAGTTTATCTATGCATAATTACCCCCTCCCCCCTTCTTTTTAGACTGACATTTTCTTCATTTTTTGCCTGTAGCCGTAACTCACTGATATAGAGCAGATTAAGGCTTTCTTTTGCAGTTGCTTAAATTAATCATCAGTTAAAATAAAGACAATGCATTTTGCACTAAAAGAACATACTTTTAGCCACCAAAAATCCCAAACTGTGTCGACATTTAAAAAAAAATATTTAAAAATTTAAAAATCTGATTTAAATTTTTAAAATCGATTTTTTTAATTTGTATTTAAAAAATGTTTTAAAATCACCAACCCTGCCCCCCTCCCTTTTCCCCTCCTTGGGTTGTGCTTGAGCACTGTCCCTGTTACACATATTATCAAGACTTATTAAGAACACTTTCAGATCTTTGTTTTACGAAACCTTTTTTTCCTTTTGAAAGAAGCTCTGTTAATATTGCTACTTCAGAAGAATAGAATGCTCTAAAATCTTTGTTATGAACTTAATTTTGAAACCTTTATTTTATCTTTGTGAATTTTGCCCTAACTTGACAATTGATTAATTTTTCCTTCTTTTCTTTGTCAATCTTTTTGCAGGCGAGGCTTTATGAAGATGAGAAATGGCATACCAGGTTGCTGTCATCCGCGAACCTGCATTTTCATCCTAGTGAAAAGGAAACATTTTCAGAAAATCTGTAAAATTAGTTTTGTCTCCTGATAGTAAGATGGATCTAGTCCTGTAAAGAATGGAAGTGATGCACAACAGCTCAGACAGAAATCAACCTTTAAACTCCAAGTCCTTAGACACCACACCTGATGTTGCTGGTTTATCAACTGTTGCTTCAACAAAAGGAACCAAAGGAATGGTTTACCAACAGTGTTCTGACCCTCTGGACAAAAGAATCTCTGGGCTAAAAGAGCCGCCAGCTGTATTTGATCATCAATATGCAAGTGAAAAGCAAAGTAAGGAAAAGACATTCGTCAGCGAAGACATGGAATTATTTGATGAACTCCAAACTGGACACGACACAACTGGTCAAAGAACAGAACAAGCTATGTCATCAGAGAAAGAAAATAGTACTCATTTAGAAAATGATCAGAGCTCATCAAATGGAACTTACCCTATGGTTACAAAAAGGTTCCGAACACTTGTAAAACGAAAGAGTATGTTTGATGGTCTAAATTTTCAAAAGGATGATGTCAATCAGGCATCTGAAAATACAGAAATGAATCCCAGTGGCTGGAAATGTGGATATTGTGGCCTTACATTCATGGGTGAAAAAGATATTGTTACTCATTTGAAGAAGCATGAAGGGCTTACCCCCAAAGAAAATGCAAATAAAACTTTTAATAGTAAATATTCTGCCACACAGATTGAAGAACAAATAAGTCATGGCATCAACAACAAAGAATGTGAAAAGTCAAAGGTTAACAAAAATCACTGTCAACTTTTGCCTATTTATAATGGAGCGATATCGATATCCTCTCAGATAAATCGACGAAGAGGTTCTCGTGTGCCGAACTCAATAGAAATGGTTAATGTTTCCATTAAAAGTAAAAGCCAGACCTCTGGTCCAATGGCTAGTGTTGGAAAAAGAAATGCAAAAAAGAAGTTAGGTGATGATTTTATTGTACCTCAAAGTCGAAGTAAGCATAAACAGTCGCCTCCCATTGAAATCGGTGCCCAGGAAAAATCTCCTGTAAAGGTCAAGTCTAAAGTGAGTGCAGAGAGAAAAAAGAAAACTTCAAGTTGCAGTACTGGGAATGGAGGAGAAGACAAGAAGTTGCAATTTAGGACTGTTTCAAGCAAAAGTCGACTATTCGGTAAACAAGAAAGGCAAATAGATGAAGATAAAAGTTTGTTACTGAAGTGTCCACAGTGTTGCTGTTGTTTTTTGAGGAATGAATCTTATTCCGAACATATGATGCAACATAATTGTTCCATGCCATATCAGTGTTTGCAGTGTGAACTGAAATTTTCTCATTTTCAAGGGCTCAAATCTCACATTGAGAATCATGAATGTAAGTTCTCTGTTCCTTCTACTTTTTCTTGTGGTATGTGCAAATCACAGTTTAGAGACATGCCGGAGCTGCAAGAACATAAAACTAAATGTGAACATTCAAAAAATCAAAGTGACCAGGACACTGTTTCAAGTAAGAACAGATTCCCTTTGGCTTTGAGGAGACACATTTCAAAGCAAGTCGGCAACAAGGAAAAGAATTTGCACAAATGCTTCCCTTGTAAGAGAACATTCAAAGACAGAAGACTGTTGTTCATCCACAAAAAACGTCACCCCAATGCCTATAAACCTTTCAAATGTGACATTTGCAGTCAGAGTTTTGCTGTGAAGAAATGGTTGGACAATCATGCTCAAAGACATGTGGTGGAACGCAAGTTTCCTTGTGATATTTGTGGTAAGAAATACTTAACAAAAGGAGATGCTGTCATGCACAAAAGAAGGCACACTTTAGACAGAAAGTTTCATTGTGATATTTGCCAAAAGAACTTTGTATACAGATCAGAACTTAATTCTCACTTGAAAAAACATCAAGGAGTTAAACTGCCAAAAAATATCGCCTGTGATACCTGTGGCAAAAAGTTTGCCACGCGGCGAGATCTTCAACGACACACCACTGTTCACACCGGAGAACAGCCTTACGAGTGCCCGTTGTGTGGAAAGAAATTTTCTCAAGAAGTGAACATGCAAATACACATAAAAATTCACACCAACATCCGACCGCATAAGTGTGGTGAATGTGAGAAAAGCTTCATCACGAAGAGTAAACTCCTCCGACATCAAGTTATTCACACCAAACCCAAAGCCTCTCTACCTAAGCCTTACAAGTGTTTGCTTTGTCCGCGTCAGTACACAGCGGAGAACAGTCTTATTCGGCACTTAAAAAGCCACCGAGAGTCCCCGGGGACAGTGACGTCTGTCACGGAGGTGTTGAATAAAGCCATGGAGGATTCCAAAAAAAAAGACGGTATCACTTCTGGATCTGTTCTTGCTTCTTTGATAGATCAAGCAATTCGTGATGCCAAAATTATATCCAAGAAAGGAAAGGAGAAATCCACGGCACCTGAACGTTCCATGGCTGAAATCATTGATCAGGCCATACACAACTCCAAGGCAGTCAGTCTTGGAACCCAGACCCCTATTCTTGTGAAAGATGCAAACAAATTCTCGAAGCCAAAAGGTGGCTTAAGTAAACCTATTGAAAGTATAAGTGAAAGCAATTTAGCGAAACATCCCAAACAAAGTAAGCAGCTCTCGTCTGTTCAAACTGTCATTGTCAAACCTAAAGGCACTGTTGTTAATTATGGCCCCACAGACCACAGGAAATTTCATCAAAATCCTACAGTCTTACAGCAAATAAAACTTAATGCCGATTCTGTACGTTGCATCCCAATGCAAGAGATTCACCATCAGAATTTGAATGGTAGAGGAAAGTTGCTTTCCAACAATATGACTGTGATTGGTCCCAACCAAACTCAGTTCTTAGTCCATTCCCCATTGCAAACCCCAGACAGCAGGACAAATATACCTGTTTCTCATGTTGCTTCTTCATCAAAGCAATATGATGCAGTCCCCTCTGTCCTGAAGACCTCATTCATAGAAGCAACAGACCTTCCCACAACCTCAAAACAAGTCTACAGTTCTGAAGTTCAAATACTGGAGAGAACACCTCATTTAACTGCCGGCTTTGAACCTCACAAAGTGAAGAACGCTCATTCTTTATCCCCTGATTTCAACAATGGCAATCATTTTATCATACTCCCTACCAAGCAGGAACCTGTGAGTCATCATATACCAGTACAACCTCAGTCAGAAGATACCAAATATTTCATTCTCCAGACTGATACTCAGGGAAGGACCATAGTTTTACAGACACCCGTCATTTCTGTGGACCCAGGAGACCAGATCACAGAAACTCAGTTCTCCCATTTTCAGGGTGCTCCAGGCCCGGTGAATAATTTACCTTCTGTGACTCATCTTGTCGAAAACAGAATAGAAAGTCCTCAACATGTTTCTTTTCTCAATAAAAGGCTTCATACATTGGTACCCGATCCTACAGTCATTCAAGAGCACTCAAAGATTGAGTCTGTGGAATCTGCTTTTGTAAATCAGGATATTGTACCTGGAGAAGAAACGGGGGAAGTCTATTCTTATCCTACAGTTCCTATTACGGAACACCTGGATGGCAATGTTGAGTTTACTGTTGCGGAGGTGCCCCATCTGGATAGCTCACAGAATATCTTTTACTCAGGACAGGAACTGATTGTGAGCCGAGACGCCTCGGGACAAGAATTGATTATAAGCAGAGAAGAGGTGGAAGACCCGGACACCTTGATGGAAATACCAACTGAGTTTGTGACTGATGGTCTGGACGCCAAGTCCATCAGTCAAGATAGCACTTCCTTCTACACGGTTGACACCTCTGGGGCTCTTGAAACTGTTGCAGCGTTAGGGATTGCTCCAAGTCTGTCCGACTCCATGGCTGGACCATCTTTTGACAATGAGGGCAGCCATATTCTCTGTAATGTGCCTTCATCTGTCATCACAGACGCCCAGTTTTTAGAACAAGAAATTCTTCAGGCATTAGAAAAAAGAATCTGCCCCTCGGAGCATGATGGGTCGAACGAGGACATTGTATTAGCTGATACTCAAGATACATTTCATGTGTAACAACAGTATTGTAGTGCCTAGCATTGATATCTCGTTCTGCCACATTATGTTTGGTTTTCAAGAGACATTTTATAACTCATCTCATGCACATATATCATCGATATTCTTTTCTACCTCACTGAAGGCACCGCAGAGGATTGCATTTTCTTAAGCAGCAGCTTGCCTACTGGTGTGCTTCATGTCTATGAGAAAGATCCTGGCCTATGACAGCTGGGATGAAGGTAAAATTTACACCAGAAACTCATCCAGACCATGTATTGCCAGGATGTGAAAATGAAGACTTGGTTCAGGCTTTATGAACTGACAGACTTTTGCGTTTTTAATGGGTAGGGTTGTTTGTATTTATTTCAAGGAAGTACCTAGAATTAGGAATTGAATATATAAGGTTCTATTGTTTACTGAAGAAAGGTTTTTGTCCCTCCTGACATTTCATTGCCAGTTTGTTCCTTTGTTTTATGAGATCCACTTCAGGGTGTTTTTGTACTTTTTATCTCATGTGAACAAATGATATTTCCTTTCATAGTTTGTAAATTGAGATGTAATGTTTAAGAAGTATCCAGATACACATCTGGAGCTCAAATTCCTTTACAGTTTACAGCATACACATGTATTCATACCGTTCCTCTCTTCTGTCTTTAAATCTTTTTCAACATTTCCGTCCCGATCAAACTACGTCATGTACGTGCAGGCTATTGTCCAAACACCATTGATCTTTTTAATTTAAAAGTGTTTAGTTCTGTCTTTATAAATTGTCTCTCCAGTCGTAATACAGAACTCTCTCTCTTTGTTATTCTCTGTCTCACTTTCATCTTTTTTTGTCCTCTTCTTGTCTCACTTTCGTCTTTTTTTGTCCACTTCTTGTCTCACTTTCATCTTTTTTTGTCCACTTCTTGTCTCACTTTCATCTTTTTTTGTCCTCTTCTTGTCTCCTTGCATCTTATTTTCCCATTTGGTTCCTGTTTTCAATGTAGCGTTTCCTTAATCTTTTGACTTGGCTTGTTTGTTTCCTTGTTTCACTTTTTGACATAAAGGAGTTTCTATGCTATGATCATGGTACTCACTCCTGCAATAGTCAGAATTGATAACCTCTGTTTATCTGTCCTCAGAGAAATTTACTCGCGCAACTTTTGCCCTCAGCGCAACTTTTGCCATTTTCGTCAATTCAAGAATTTTAGCCAATTTTCCGCAAAAGTTGGAAAATAATGATTAAATTTCCTTTAAAATTACCGAAACTTTCATCCACGGTTATAAATAACTGCGCCAAGGGGAACAAATTGCACCTGAAGCAGATCTTCCACGTCTTTTGCACTAGTGCTGTTCGTCATCACTGTTAACTGCTTTCAGTGTGTATTTTTGTGTGTTTTTGTTTTTATTTTCTTTCTTTGTTTTTTTATTGTGTTCATGTGTTTGTAGAACTTCTTTGCCTAGTAGGGTAATATGGACCTTTTTTTTTCAAACCAGCAGAGAGTATGCATTTATGGACATAACATAATGAAATTTTGTAGACACACAGATTTCTTTAATACAGTGCAGGCTGTTTGCAAAAAGATGATGTGAACTCATGTTCGTCGAACATGTCACGCGAAGTGGGATAAATGCCACATGACCTGAAACCATTTATTGCTGATATTTACTTTCAAGTAGGGTTCACAAAATAGAGACGACACTTGAAGTAGTGAAGCTGTCCCTCTGCCCTACCCGGGTGATTCCTAAGCCACTTTTGAACAGCGGAGTCATAGTAGGTCTGCAGGGGCTTTAAAAAACTTCAGTCGAGGGGTTGTAATTTGTATGTCGTGTGCGATGGCAGGCTTAACATCTCCCCAAAGTTTTCTTTGGCTAAACTTATAGCCTCAAGGTTCATAGTGTGGCTTCTGTGCCCATCCAAAATTATCAACACTTTCTTCTCTTTCGAAGGTTCTTGAAGGGATGGGCTCTGGGCCGGCTCACTTGTTCTCTGGTCAGTTTAAACGTTATTTTCAAGAAGCCATCATTTAGCTGACGCTCAGAGCAAAAAGTGTCATTAAAAAGGGGAGAAAAAAAACCCCCACCCTTCATTAAAGCCCAGCTCACTTTTATACTGAAAGAAAGTGAAGAAGCAAACAGTCACCTTTCTGTGTCTCCCACTTCACTGTGTAGGTAAACTTGTTCTTTTGTGGCAGGGCCCGCCCCATTACGGTATTACCTCTTCCTCCAAGTCCCCCAACAGTCTGGAAGACTCCTCGTTCATTTCTGGATCCTCCGTCAAATCTTTGAACCTATTGATTAATTGTGCTGACTTTGAACTTCTTCATACTTACATCATGTGCTAGTGCATGAACTTACAAACATATTTTCTTTAACAATTTTTGTATTACATGTATACATAATATGTTTAATTTTTTTGTTTATGTGACATGGATATCGTGTCACAACTTAAATACATGTATTAAAGTCTGGCTCTGTACAGCCATGTTGAAAATAATCTTAGAAGTCTAATTGAAATTTGTTGTCTTGTTTGCACAACTGCTTAATGTATTTGTCTCTTTTGCATTTTTTGGTGTAGTCTTCTTTTCTGTCTTCATATTACTTTAGAGTGTATGGGTGGAGTGCGGCTATTCTTATCAACACTATTCAGAATTTAAGAAGCTGGTCCTCCAAATTTAATGTCTGTCACCATTAGCACCGAGACAAATGAGTTCAGGAGAGTAGAGCCTTGAAAACTCAACAAGATGACCTGAGTCTGGCAGGGCCCGCCCCATGACCTCTTCCTCCAAGTTCTCCAACAGTCTGGAAGACTCCTCATTCATTTCTGGATCCTCCGTCAAATCTTTGAATTTCTTGACCCTGCTGACTTTGAACTTCTTCATACTTACATATACATGTGCTAGTGCATGAACTCTTACAAACACATTTTCTGTTACTTTTACAATTTTTGTATTATACATAATGTATGTTTAATTTTTTTGTTTATGTGACATGGATATTGTGTCACAACTTAAATAGTAAAGTCTGGCTCTCTGCAGCCATGTTGAAAATAGTCTGAGAAGTCTAATGGGAATTTTTTGTCTTGTTTGCAAAACTGCTTTGTGTATTTGTCTCTTGCATTTTTTGGTGTAGTCTTCTTTTCTGTCTTCATATTACTTTAGAGTGTATGGGTGGAGTGCGGCTATTCTTATCAACACTATTCAGAATTTAAGAAGCTGGTCCTCCAAATTTAATGTCTGTCACCATTAGCACCGAGACAAATGAGTTCAGGAGAGTAGAGCCTTGAAAACTCAACAAGACGACCTGAGTCTGGCAGGGCCCGCCCTATGACCTCTTCCTCCAAGTTCTCCAACAGTCTGGAAGACTCCTCATTCATTTCTGGATCCTCTGTCAAATCTTTGAATTTCTTGAGCTTGCTGACTTTGAACTTCTTCATACTTACATATATACATGTGCTAGTGCATGAACTCTTACAAACGCATTTTCTGTTACTTTTACAATTTTTGTATTATACATAATGTATGTTTAACTTTTTTTGTTTATGTGACATGGATATTGTGTCACAACTTAAATAGTAAAGTCTGGCTCTCTGCAGCCATGTTGACAATAGTCTGAGAAGTCTAATGGGAATTTTTTGTCTTGTTTGCAAAACTGCTTTGTGTATTTGTCTCTTTTGCATTGTTTGGTGTAGTCTTCTTTTCTGTCTTCATATTACTTCAAAGTGTATGGGTGGAGTGCCGCTATACTTATCAACACTATTCAGAATTTAAGAAGCGAGCCCTCCAAATTTAATGTCTGTCGCTATTAGCACCGAGACATCTGAGTTCAAGAGAGCCTTGAAAACTCACCAAGACCACCTGAGTTCAGGAATGCCCAGTCTGGGATTTGAACATGTGAAGTTGAACAGGGCTTTGCTCTTTGCAGTATTGTTTTACTGACTTACTATATTGCCGTAAGGTGACAAAACGTCTTTTTTTTCACAGCTGTTTCGAGAAAAACAAATTTTTTTTCAGCGTAACCTTGAAAAATAGTCTTCCCAAAATGTGAATTCTAATTCATTCAAAAACTAGTTACAGTTTCTCTCTGATTTTTTTCACACAGGTGGGGTAACTGATCAGACTTTCTATTTAGCAAAAATAAAAAATTTTGACGCCTAAATGGGAAAAAAGGCGTTTTGTCAGCTTGTGGCAGTATACATGATCTACATGCAGAACTATTTGCTGACCTTTTAGCCGTTTCATGTTACGTCCATCCACGTAGTGCATCGCTGTAGTTAAGTTACGTCAAAAGACATTATAGCCCTTCCCCAATTAAGAGAAATTTTTTTGTCCCTTCTTCCTATGCCTCAGGAAGTAATGACTGAACGATCTTTATCTCATAGTCATAGTGCAGCTGATTTTTATGTAGGCTTTACATTGCTATTATATCCTTTTACTCATTATAGAATGAGGGTGCGGTGGCGGAGCAGCTAGTGTAGTAATGGGTACCTGACTTTGAGTTGGGGAAGTAAAGGCGGCACGGAAAGGAATTAGCCACCCTATCAGTATTATCACATTTTGCTGAAGGCCCAAGAACTTGTCTCACTAGCAAGGCAATCCACAATGTCCAGATCGGATTTGGGAACAACTTTATTTTTTTTTTACTCCTAGACTAGAATGTAGGATTATCCGTTGCCCGACAGGCAGCCACGTGCTGTTTCCAAAGGTACTCTTAAGAGTTTATAAATATATATAAATTATATATATATATATATATATATATTATACATATATATATATATATATATATATACATATTATAATATATATATTTATATATTTATATTCTGACCAGAGTGACTTCTGTTTTGGGTAGGAATTAATTTTTTAAATTTTGCCCGCTGGAAGGGCCTACTCTTTTCAATTTTAGAACCACTTAGTGACCATATAGGTGCAAAACTTCTATCTTAGTCTTTATCTCAGAGGACTTCAGAAGGTTAGGGGCTTGATCCTACCTGTCCTAGGATCAAAAGGTGGAAAAAAACATGAGAAGAAAGAAAACTCCGTGCTTGTGAAGGTTGAACTCCGGACCCCCAGGTTGACACTGGCGAACATCATAACATCATACCTGTTGAGCCCCTCCCCCCACTTTAAAAACTTTAAAAATTTGAATTAATGTAGATGTTTTTACGCCCCCATCAACACAATTTAGATTATTTGGGATGTGGACTCAGGTCTGGATCAGCCTGGACTAAGAGGGATGCAACATCTGATCTCAGAAGAAAGGCTGATATACTTGATAAAAATTCTCCGCACCAATGAATGAATTGTACTCAAGCCTCAGAGAGATAAGAGACTAGTCTACTTTCATCAAGATGTAGCCCGTCACCACTGAGTGAAACAGGGGAGTCCTTGACCTATCCACCTCCAATAATGAACCCAAGTACTACAGTATAACACGGATAGCTTGAATTCTTCAGGACCAGCCTTGATTGTATGAGGGACCTGTAGTTTGAGGGATATCTTACAAAGATAAAGAAGAAAAAAAAAGCGGGACCGCAGGGACAGTTCGACGGATGCGTGATTTCGAGTCTTCTGTGTTCGACCTATCCACGTTAAACTGTACATGTAGACGGAAAATCATGTGAAAGTTCTTGGATTGTCATGTCCAAGAAATTAATTGAGCAAGGATTACCCAGTTGGGAGCGCCGTAAAAACTCTACTCAAGACAAACAAACAAGGATGGCCATACACCAGCATTGAGGGGAAATAGCCTACTAAAGATATATTCCAACTAGATCTAATGTAGCCTTCTTCTACTTTCTATGTGCCCATAGTACTACTGTAAATTTTATAGTCTTGAAAAGAAAACTGTGAAACTAAAAAGACGCAAGTAATCGTATGAATGCAAAAAAACAGAGTCAGACCTGACACTTTGAGAAAAAACAGTAACAAGAAACACAACACTTTTTTATGTCAATTTTTGTAATATTTTAATGAAACCGTATAACTTACACACGTGTCATTATTCGATAAATGCAAAGTGTTAGCAATACATGATATAGCACCACCAAATGGAAGCAAAATATCTATCATTATCATTCAAAATAAGGGTTGGAAGGAAGCAGAGAAAGGCATTACATTTTGTGGAGAAAAACTCAGTGGGGCTCCATACTCATCCATATGCAACATTGACATATCTATGCCATGGTAAACAGATTATAGATAAGCAGGAGAATCCAGAAGAATCACATTTTCTCAAACGTTCTTTAAAAAGAATAAGGCCTATCCTCTTGCAAGCTGTTTGCAGAACATGCTTTAAATTTTAACGCTGTGTACTGCTGTTTAAAAGCTTAATTTTTACTTAGTAAGTGAACTCACAAAATGTATTATCAGCAACGGTGCTGCTGCTCAAAGATTTATAAGTTAAAAACAATGCCACTTGGAAGCCACAAAATTCTACTTAAAAACCATTTATCAGTCCTTTAAAAAAACTCTTTCTAGTTATAATCACACTAAACTAACAGAGATACAGTACAACTTAAAAATTATTCAGTAAATTTTGAAGCAATGTATTTGTCATAAATAACATTTACCTGTAACACATGACTTTCATCAAAAATATCTCAAACCAACCTTAAAATCAGATCTACACCAATACAGGCTCATTCTGAAAACCATACATTAAGTCGTCCTAAAATTCAAGACTTCTAGAATCTACTTTTAAAGTAAAGAGAGATGAAAAAACTGCCAACATAATTTGTATTTTTCTTAGTGAAAGCGATAAATGTTTTTGGTAGGGGACACAACCTTTCCATAAACAGCCCTGAAATAGAAACAGATTGCACTGCTCAATTCACAGTACTAGTCTGTCCCCGTGGTTTTATGCACCCCGCATAATTTAGCAAAATTTGATCATTTTTGGCATAATTTCCGATTATTTTCCTTTAACTTTATATTATCATTCTATGTTAAAATAAACAGAATCGCATAATTTCCCATTTTTGGGCTCATTTTGCATAATTTCAGAATTTTTCTGGCATAAAACGACGGGGACAGACTAGTAATCTAGTAAGTACAACCACCATAGCCAGTATCAATGCTTTCCATTTCCATCCATGTCTTTTTGAAAATGTTGTCAAAGAAACACAGAAAGTACCAATATCAAACACAAAAATATGTACGATGAAACACAAGATTGAAACCCTTTTCAAAGCACGGTCACATGATGAATGTTTTAGCAACACAATACCCCAGGACCCCCCCTCAGACCAAACAAAAAAAACAGCTAAAAAAACATGACACAATACAATACACAACAGAGTAAATATAATACGTTTTCAAATTTCAACATTGAATTAAAAACCCTTGACAAGACAGAGAAGACAAGAAAAATTATGTTCAGTTGTGAGGCAACTATGCTACACATTCAGGCACATCTTATATCACACATCAGACTCAAGACACTATCTAAAACTTTATTTTCAAGAGAACTTCACCCCCTTTACAACTACGGCTGCTTTTAACATTTTGCAGTCACTTGGTGTAATAATGCGACGCTGAAATTTATGCGTTGCGGTCACCTGAGTATGTTGCAGTCACTCTCCTGGCAGAGTGACCAGATGGGGTATTTTATACTGCTGGCTGTGTGACTGCAAAGTGTTAAATCCTTTCAAAGAGCCCAAGACAGTCTCGGGTCAGGTAATGATGAGTTTCTTAGAAATGTGTGAAGTTGAAGTTGCAATGAGGCACACAAACAACTTTGTGTCTCATTAAACAGATCTCTTCAATCTTACTACATTTTTAACATAATATTGTTGACCTCAATACAAAACTTTGAATACAATGTATGAGAACAGTCAAAATAGTTAATGAGGGAACTTATGGTTAATAAACACATGTACCGTACTTCAATAGACTTCAAGCTCCATTTTTATACTTTGCAAGGGGGATGGAAGTTGCAATTAGCAAGCAAAGGGTAAAAAAACCCCACATATTTCCTTTTATGATGTACCCATCACAGAAAAAAAAATTCTCACTCACACTACCACAAATACTGGCCTTTTTTTTTTACACAGAGGGCAGTAGACTACAAATAGAGCAAATGCTGCATGGCAGTGGCATAATTGAGTTAAAAAACTATATTCTTTCACACTTCTCAAATACCCGGTGCAAATCTCTTCAAGGATTTCGTAAAATGACAGGTAAATACTACAACATGTACCTAAGGGTTGCTATAAAATCCAAAGGTGAAGATTGATTATCTAACAATAAATATCACCGAAATCGTATGGTAATGATTAGATCTAGTTTTTTACCATCCCAGCCTTTTCTTTTAATGCCCCAGACTGTATGGAAGAAAAATATTCTCTTAAAAAATCCCATCTGAACAGGGAAAAAACTACAAGACCTGGCTGAGAGAGCTTTTTCCCATCCACTCTGACAATTTTCATTCCTTTTCGTGAAACAGGGAAACATTCAATGCAAAAATTAGACTAATACCACTTTGAGATACACTTATCGCAGTTGTGCAGTTTGGTCAAAAGTACTCTCATACTCATTATAATATTACACTCAATTTGAAAGTGTCTGAGGAGTACCTTTAAAACATGGTCACAATTAAGCTTTTCTATAATTTTCTTGCATATTATATTGAGAAAGACTTATCATTAAAATAACATTTGACCTGTTACTTTTTACTGTTACCTTTATTACAATTACGGTACCGGTACAGAATTTTACATGCATCATCATTTTACAATGTGAATAACATTAACCCTGATCCCCCTTTTTTTAACATAAAAGTTAGGCATAAAGATTTGCCAAACACAAAAATGCAGGTTTGCTAAAGAAAAATCACCCAAACAAATACTGGGTTAAACAAAAAAGTTCAGAAATTTAAAAAATAATTAATTTTAGAAAGAAAGAAAACCTGCCGCTACAAAGACTTTCAACGTCAAACTTTGTAGGAATTTCATTAGGCATTGATGTATTAAATTACAGAATATCTGAAGGGATCTTTATTGACTTTTACAATAAGGAGGACAAAACACTCATGGCCCAAGCTACATTCTCATTTACAGAAAAGTAAGCTGCAGGAGAGTGCTTTGTTTGAGTAAAAGAAAGAAGCACATCGAAACATTAATGAACATTTATTTGGTGCGGGAAAATTGCAAACAGACCCCCTCCCAAATAAAAATATTTTTTTAAAACCTGGATAGCAAGACCTATCAATACAAGTACATGTAGATTCTAGTACCCTCTAACTCTAACCACTGTAAAATATTTTGCATGTCTTTCTAAACATTAGTAGCAAACAAGAGCTCCTCAAACCCTTTTAAAGACAAATATAGCATTATATTATACCAAGGGTGTGAAGTGTCTTCTTATCAAAATGTACAAATCTGGTAAAAGGACAGCCAAGGTAGGCCAAAAAGCTATAGATTTTTCATCATTTTCTTTGACTTCAACAGTGCAGAAACGCAGGCAAAAGAGAGTAGTATATGTATCTACATATATATTTACACATGCTGAGATCACATGAGAGTTAACGAGTAGCAGCAACAAAGGTGCTCATCGGGATATAACAAAGGCAGCCTGTACGCAATAGGGCACTGGGACTAGGGAGCAACAAGAAACGACGATTCAAAGTCTAGTCTGTCAGGAGAAGAACCTCGTAATTATCTCCAAAAAAAAAAGAAAAGAACCACATTGTCGTGTCATATTGGTACATACATACAAACCTGTTCTAACGACCCTGTCCAAGACAATTACCTACACAATGAACCACTTGCCATGTTCCCCCCATGCCCCCCCCCCCCCCCCAAGGATTTTTTTTTCCTAATATGTATAGAGTCTAGATTATGACAGTGTCCAAGACATCCAACTGTCTAAAATTACCATTTTTTCCTCGACAATGGGTGGTCATCTTGGACAAGTTCAACAGTACTAAATAATCATTAATCACCAACCAACTTAAACTACATCCTTGCTCCATTGAAAATGGGTTGGGAAAATATGTAGCTTTGATACCGCAAGCATAAGATGAACTTTACAATATTAGTTAAATAAAAAATTTCAGACAAGACACAGAAAGCTTTATGGCAAACCTCTTTGAGACTTGAAGAGCCAAATTAAGAGAAATCTGACAGAGAAAGGTGCATGTATATATTTTTAAAATATATATATATATACACTGTAGTTAATACAAGCGCATAGCAGTTTTTATTCAATGGCCAGTAACTCTACAGAAAGTCCTAATCTTGCAGGCAGTACCACAATAAACATTTATTCCAATAGAAATATAAACACTATCTGGTTGTCTATTGTAAGAGCAGACGGAGTATGAGTAAATGGTTACAAAGAGACAAAGAGATACATTACAATTCTCTCTCCCTTCGCTTTTCAATTCATTTACAGAGTACAGTGCAACATAATTCGATTATAATGAAAACACTCTCACAACTTTCAAGTACAATAGTTTCAGCACTGCATTGAACGACAGCAGCAAAGAAAGAGCAGCTGTCAATGCTGGAGCCCGCACAGCATCAGAAAGACCTGTTTTTAGTCAGTATTACTGCACTTGCAACACAATTCGGTCATATAAGTGCCAAAGATTAGAGGTGTTACAAGAGAGTAACAAACAGTTACAAGAGAGTAACAAACAGTTACAAGAGAGTAACAAACACACACAAAAATTCCCAAATACAAAAAAGGGATATGGGCGATATATGTTTGATAGGAAAGAAGGAGCATACAACACCCGAGCACCCACCAACCACCTACATCAGAAAGACAGGGAACTACAGAGGTGCAATGCAGTTGTACATTGATGAGATATTACAGTGGAGGCACAGACCAGAATACCTTACACATACAATCGTCTATAACACGAGCAATTTTTAAAATGACAAATTTATCTCCTTTCGGCATCATGTCAGAAACTCACCCAGTATTATTCATGTCACCTACTAAACTGGGCAGATTTTGGAGTCAAGTATACCCTCCTATTATACGTAAGGTCATGTTATAGGCGAGGAGTAATAAAAACAATTTTTTCAAAAAACATTAATGTGGCATAAAACCCCTTTTGATTATATTTCTTTCTTTTTTTTTTCCAACATAAAAACAAAGCTTTAGCAAATAATCCTTCAGCAAGAGTGGGGAAGCTCATAGACAACAAACTCACATCAGTTTAATGAGAATCATTTACCATATTGGGAAATTTTTTTAAAAAAATTTAAATAACAGCACAATGTGAAGAAAAAAAAAAGGTGATGAACTTGGAAACAAATTGGGCCTGCCAATATGCCATTCCCAGTAGTAAACTGTTAAGTGAGGCAAGATAGTAAGTAAGGAAGACTAAAACAATATCAATGTATTCAAACTCACAACGTGTTGTAATTCTCTCAATACTGCCATCAGTCCACAGAGCAGTACAAGAAATAGAAAAATAAAAACCTACCATATACAATGAGTCCTTTGTCTTGTAAGTAAAGCACAAAGTGAGTGCTACAGAGTAGAACTCTGCCATACACCATTTCGACAAGTGACGTATGGCAGAGTACAACACTGAGTACGGTAGTTGAAATGATGACAACTGAGGGGACCAAAACACATGCTGGAGCTAGAAAGGAGGAAACACCAACAATTTGTGACATGAAGTATGAAGGTGAAATAACTCAAGTCTGTCGCTGTAAGCGTACATGGAAGCGAAGAATGTTTCTGGGTGTTCTAGGGACTGCTGAGTTAATAATAAAGATTGTAAAGCCGCACAGAGTTTGCTGTTGAGCGGATGCGCTATACAAATGCTATTCATTTATAAATGTTTATTATAGAATATAGATTGTAGAGCGTACAGAGTTTGCTGTTGAGTGAATGTGCAATATAAATGCTGTTCAATTATAACTTTATTATAGAGAGTGTAATGAGCTCAACCAATCCATGTTCACAACATTCTGGCTCTATTTTATGGACAAATGAAAAGCTTTACTTAAGAGTAAACCAAGATGTGACCATTGCACAGATCAGATCGTGATCAATTAGCTGAAAACTAATAAAATTCACTGTCCTTACTCTAATTTACCGTTAGACATCCCTGTTTTTCATCCAGAAACAATATTGTTTTTAAAATTTTCTCCTCGATGCATTATGAAATTCACAAATATATATACGCATAACACGTTTCAAGACCAGTCTCCGTCGAAAAACAATGAAAGGTGCTTGAAGAAAAGAAAAAGAAATATTGTACACATTATCTAAGTCTACATCAGAACCTTCAGCATCCACATCACCAGGGAAAGTTAAAACAATATTTATGAAGACACTTTCATCATCAAAACATATATATATCAGGCAAAGTTTGGGCATAGAAAAGTTATGGAACAAGTCTTTAAAAGCTATCACATAGTACACTGATATATATGTCTTGACTAGTCAAGCTTGGTCATTTAATGTTTCTAACCACTGAAACTATATATAAACATTGATCAATCTCACTTTTATCTACGGAAACATGATGAATCTCACTTTTCTATCTACGTAAACGGTAAGAGAGGTTACTAGATATTAACACTATCCGTACGTCGTGTTTTACTACAGTATCCATACGACGTGGGGAACTCTGTGCCACCACTTTCCACAGCGGAAATTTACTCGTTAATCTGATCTGTACGCTTTGCACAGCAGTCTGTCGAAATGATTTTTTTGAGAAATACTGAAAGTTTCCAAGAGATCTTCGCACTAGAAGTATTCTAAAATGTGAAGAACACAACCCCGGGGGTATAAAATGACCCCAGGGCATACGGATAGGGTTAACGTACAAAGAAAAGAAGGAGAGATAAGGACAATAGATGTTTTGACAGGAAAGAAGGAGCAAACAACGCCAGAATGCCCATCAACCACCAACGGTGAAAGAATGAAAGAGACAAATTGGAAAATTAACCGAGAAGGAAAAAACGACAACTCAATCTACAGCTATTTTCCACTCTTCCTGGCTAAACTTGATCCCAAAGTACAGAGCTAGCCTGTCTTCCGCCGGCTCCCCTGCTCCCATCCCAAGCAGCATACTTGGTCCAGCAGAAGAGGGAGGTGGGACCTCGATCTTCCAGTCAAAGGTCAACTCTTTGTCCTCGTGCTGCACACTGACCCTGACCTTGCCGTTTGGCAGGAGTTCCGCCTGAAAAGCAACTATAGAGCCTTTCCTGATTTCCGGCAGCTTCATGGTCATCTCTTGCCCATTCACATACACACTACCTGTGAAGACAAGACAAAAAAACAGAGATGATGTTAGTTGTAGTTATGATATCAAAGTGACCACATTTAACATCTGCTCGCTTTCAATGATTCAAAACCAGCAACTGCTGTGTAATGGTCTGGTGCTTTTTTCTGTCCCATGCAGAACACAAGAGTTCGGTTCCCATGAGGGGAGCTTCTCTATTGAGTATCTCCATCTATCTTCTGAGATGTTTTTTTGCCTATCAATCAGGGTTGGCCCTGAGGGTTGAAGAGTAGCCCACAGTCTGTCCCCATGGTTTATGCACCCCGCATAATTTAGCAAAATTTGATCATTTTTGCATAATTTCTCATTATTTTCCTTTATCATTTCTTTGTTAAAATTAACAGAATCGCATAATTTAAGAATTTTTTTTGCATAAAACCACGCAGACAGCACATCCTAAATTAACTAAATAGTGTTGATGAAGGTGTATCAACTACAATTTCATTTTTTTCTCTCACAAATTCAGAAGGATACAGCAGTCGCTACCGCTACAGCAAGGCCAAGATTGAAGTTCTTGTGCAAAACTGCACACACCAGCCACAGAAGCAGGAAAAAAAATAATGTAATGTTCGCGTAACAGGGGCATTGTGCTCTTTTACCTTGCAGACACGAGGGGAAATTTTAACTGACACGAATATTGAGAAATAAGCAAAGTGTCGTCCACATTCAGCATCATAAAACTGCAAACATTTTCTTTTCTAGTGAAACACCAATGGACTTCCTATCTGTAGCCTTGACCATATCATAAAAGACTGCAGGAAGCTACAATTCCCTCGTCTCTTAGTCACCAGTGAGATTTTCAGTCCCTAATGTTTTGAAGTAACATGTGATGAACTATGGAAATACTATGCAGAACCAAATTGGCTCATACTCATGCGACCCCCCCCCCCCCCCACCAGCAAAAGTAAGTTGTACAAATCACACTGTTCTCTCCCAAGTAAAACAGCCACAAACAGCACTATTGGTGGCATGAGTATAGTCAGAAGCCCAACATGTTACAAAAAAAACTAATCCTGAAGTGCCAAAGACTAAACAAATACCCAGGCAATATAATATGTAGCTGCGAGTTGACAGTAGGAGATCATAAGAGCAAAAACCTTTATTAAGTTGAAATTTTATCATCCTCTCACAAAACCATAAGAGAATATATATATATCATTTATCAGATATATCATCTACATGCTAGAAAGAAAACTTGCAAGTTTGCAAAACCTACAGTAAAACTGTCCCCGTGGTTCAACGCACCCTGCATAATTTGATCATTTTTTGCATAATTTCTCATTATTTTCCTTTATCATTCTTTGTTAAAATTTACAGAATCATATAATTTCACATTTTTGGGCTCAGTTTGCATAATTTCAAAATTTTTCTTGCACAAAACGACGGGGACAGGTAAAGAGAGGAATGCAAAGAAAAGTATGCCAGCTTGATCATAAGTCCAAAAACAACACAACTATAAAAATCAATAGCAAGAGTCACATCATATCAGTACATACCGTATAAGTTCACAAAAATAATCTCCTCTTGGCCAAAGAACTCAACGTCGCTGTTCTTCGTGGATATACAGAGCCCGTCTCCGGGTGACTTGTCAGCATCGTCGAGGATTTTTATGGTGAGCGTATTGTCCTGCTTAAAGCTGGCCTCGCTGGAATACAGCACATGGGAAACACCCTCAGCAGTGCGGGTCGCAACTTTGTCTTCGTTGCTCAAGCAGTATGCCTTGCTCTCTGACGGACTCCACTCTGCAGAACAGAAAAAAATGCACAAGCTCACAAATCTGCAATTATGTTAGGAGGAGCAGAAGAGACTTTGAGTAAACAATTTGTTTGTCCTTCAAGTCACCTTCCCTGCTGCAGAAGTGCATCTCTTCCCAAATACCACCATGACATAGCACAAGTAGACAGAAAATGGAAGTTATATAACAATTTCGGAAATATGAAATTAAAAAATAAAGTGAGTTCTAAACTTACAGCTCGTGCATTGATATATGAACAAAAAACACTCAAGCCCAAAATCATAGGAGAATCTTAATGAATCAAATTACAAAATTACAAGGCCACCCAAAAGGAAACAAATATTACCCCCAATCACAGACCTCAGCCTGGAGTTGTTCGTGAATTTAGAAAAAAAACAATGAACTTTGAGCTACATAGCACAATATCTATCGTGCCAGAACCTGAGTGCTGGGACATTTCAGAAACCCACTTTCAGCACTTTTCAAAGACCCCTGAGCAAGTGTTGAGTTCCAGCATGCTGTTGGCATCGCTGACCATTTACGAGAGAGATAGAGAGAGAGAGAGAGAGAGCAAAACATGATCTCTTACTGTAATGCTCTATGGCAGTGGAGGCAACTTTGGGGATACTCCAGGCAGACCAGGGAGTGTCCGACTCGCCCCTCCCACACACACGCAGCGTGTAGGGACTGTTGGTGCGCAGATGCTTGATCAAATAGCAGCCTGACGTCCCCACATACGCTGTGTGGTACACAGCGTTTGCACTGTCAGAGGATTTGTGATTACCGGATGCGTATTGCAGCCAGAACTCTGTGATGTCGCTCTCTTCATCAATCTGTGGTTGAAAGGAGACAGTTCCCAACTCTATTTCTTTTGTTATGTTTATAATTTAACTTTTTTTTTATTGAACACAAAAGTCATCACTTTAACCCAACTTACTAATGTGTCAAGGCTGAGACTAAGAGTGGGGGCAAGAAGAGACATTAATAATATCACATATCAAATATTTTTCTTAAAGTAACAGTCACAGTCGTTCAGCATTTCACAAGAGACATTACCACAATGATTTAATTTGGAAGAAGACTTTCGAGTTTAATTGTGTGGCAGGAGGGTTCATATCAAACTTATTCATGTAAAGTGAGGATAACAATGTGATAAGACAATTTCAGTCTTTGGTAAATAACAAGTTAAAACAGAAGATAGAATGAATTTGGCAACATATTTTTAAACCAGGTAATCTAAATTCACCTCACCTCACTCCAATTCACTAAGAGACCTCCTGGCTTTTCAATAACTTCAGAGATCTGGACAGGAGCTCGGGCAAGAATGCGGCCTTCTGATAACACAGTCGACTCGATATACTTCTCAATATCGTGAGACAAAACCACATTCACACAGGCGACTTCTGAAGGAGTGGGGATGGCAGGGACACTGCAAGAACAAAGTTTTAAAAATAGTTAATTTTCGGCAATGATCCAATAATCACAGAGCAAAAAAAAAACCCCACTCAATATATGACTCACAGGGATACATCTGAAACAGGGACAATATTGAAAGAGTATCAAAATAAGTAGTTGGACTCTGCTAAAAGTAGTCTAGTAAAAGTTTCCACAAACAAAGACAACCATTTAACAAGAAAACAAAAGCCTATCCATTCCTTCTTGACAAACACAGATAGTGTGAACAGAATACTGAAATTTTAAATAATACAGAAAAAATCTATTTGGCCAGAATCCAACAAAATCACAACAATAGCAAACAAACAAACAAACAAACAAACAAACAAAATTGAAAAAATAATAAATTAAGTCAGACGAAAATACTGAGGTACATCACTGATAATGTCAAAAACACAAACACGAGCAACAAACACAAATCACCAATGAACCTGTGTCACAAAAGATGACAAACCTCGAAAGAGCTTTGGTCTTTGGATTTTCCTTAAACTTCACAATCTTCTCACAGTTGGCTTCTGGATTGTCAGCCAGTATTGATGCACCTAAAATAACATATATGTACAAATTGGTTTAATCAATCCACAAATTCAAATTTTATTTACACCTCATTTCAAATTAGTACCACAAACAAAGTTACAAATCTTGCATTACTGATACTGCAAGAGTGTGCTAAAAGAGCAAAAAAGCTTTTCCAAAAGTGCAGCTCTTTTCTAGATGTAAAGAAATCACTTATCTGGTTCTGATCCTAGCCTCATATTTATGTTACCCGGTACACATAAACAGTACATCATATTGAGAACAATATTTCCTCTGATATTTTCAATATCAACCATATTTTCATTCGTTTAGTCCATTACCTGGAAAGCCCATTAGCAAAAACTACAAAAACACAATTTCCTTTCTTTATCTCACAACATGAGTTTTTCTAGAAAGATGCTGCAGAAAAAACTTCTTGTAACAGAAGGAAATTCTCTTTAATTTATAAATATCACGTCTTGACATTGAAGCAGTTAAGAGTGAAAATCAATAAATGAATTCATTTTTAAAATTTTTCACCTCAAAACTAGAACAAAACCAACAGTTTTAGTTTTCAACTTCAGGTCAAAACAGTGTCGTGTAGATTTACTCAGTTACTGATCATGGTGCATAAGACGAACAACTGCACAATTACATTACGTAAATCACAGCAACATGTATCTTTCAAGACTTGCCTTCGTCCATCACTACAGCAGCAGACCCAAGATTTTCATTCACCAGAGCTTGGCATTCTTCCAGAGGCTTTAAAGCGTCTATCCGAATGTTTTCAATGTCGTTCTTTAAGTCGGCCAGTCGCTGGTCCAGAGCTGATACCACAGCATTTTTCAAACGAGCAAAGTGAGTCTCCACTTGTTTATGGGCTGCATCGCTGCTGACATTTATCTGCAGACAAAAAAATTACATCAATTCATTTTGAACCATGTATCTGGAAATTTATACAAAATATTTAAAATAAAACTGTAATTCAATATAAACCAAAATAACACAAACACATACAATGGTAAAAACCTGACTAAAGAGTCTGACAGTTGACAATTAATGCAATCCGACTCTGTCAAATGATGCTGAAAGCATCATGGAAATGTAAGAACTTTGTACAAAATATTGGGGGATACTGTAATTCAGTTGACGGTTAATGTATTTTTGAATGTACAACAAACACGGTGAGTACATTTATGTGAATGTAATAGTGTGAATGCAAGTGAATCAAAATTTCAATTTAAACACCATTAACGTGTGGCATGTTGTGAAACAGGTCCTTAACCGTCCTCTGACAGCGTCACAAGCAACCAAGCGGGAAACATCACATATTTTCACACTCAGCATTTAATCATTGCAAAATTTGTATTCTTAAACTACTGAGTGGTCTACTCCCCTCACAAGATCGTAGTAGAAGCCTCAGCAAGTGAAAACTCATGTCATCAAAAAGTATATATATACATAAGATGTCATTTTTTCTTTACCTGATCTTGGAGATATTTGAGCTCGTCATTTACTTCAGCCAACTCATAGCGATAATTGTGCGCAGAATCCATGATTTCCACAACACTTTGAATCAGTTCGGCAGTCATTGTGGAAGGTGGGGAAATATCTGAAGGAGGACAAAAAACAACACAATTAAGGTCTGTGAAACTGGCGTTACACTTTCAAGATATCATCAAATTTTGCTAGTGCTTGCTGTGTATCCTAGGCAAGCTACACACATTATATTTCAAGATTTTTTCTTTTTTTTTGTTGTTTTTTTTGTTTTTTTTTTGTTTTTTTTTGGGGGGGTCCTCAGGTGGGCTACATTAACTGACTTTGTAGGCAACAAGACCAGACCAGTGGGTCATAGTTTGTGACACCTGCCTTAGGTTAGAGTCAAAGTCGTCTGTCAGTCCAAATTGGTAGGGGTTAGATACTTTGATTCAGTATTTCTTTTAAGAGACAAAAGGGATGGGTTTGTGGCAATTTTAAGGAGGACTAAGAAAAGAAGTGGACACAGCTGTTAGTTGTTAGACCTAATGCCAGTAATCAAGCAGGTTATTTAAAATCATTTAAACTAGAAACAGTTACATAGTGACTAAGAGCCCACCATTATTTTCAGTTCACATCTAGGAGGTTGAGTTGGCATTAAAATATTGATTTTTTCTTCTTTTTTTTTCATCAGGAGAAATATAAAAATATTTCCTGAGCACATTGAACTAGGTCCCAAACCCCCAAAGAGGGTAATTTGATACACTGTAATACACATGATTATATAATTTTGAAGGCCTGAGACCCCCAATCTGACTGCACGTAGTAAGCAAATGGAACTGACTTTTTAAAGAATCTGTCAGAATATTTTAGAGCTAAACCCCATTTATCACTAGGAAATCACTCTATAATAGAACTTCAGCTAAATTTTTAAAAAGTTTGATTGTCTCAGTAAGACTCTTGAGTCTTGAGGAAAGTCATAGCTTTAAAATATAACTTTTTTCTTTCTACACCAGATCACAATTAAACTTGTAATCCGTCAAAAAGAAAAAGAAAACACCCAGGAGGCATTTGAATTTAATGAGTAGTGCCAATCATCATAGATATAAAGTTAATTAACTATTGCTATATATTGACTTCATTTCTGCTGCAAAGTAATAGATCTAGTAGTAATAGTTTTTGAAATATTTTCATAATCCGAGCTTTGTAGCCTTCCCATCAGGGGGTTTCAAGGGGGTACGCCCCATATGAAGTTTAAACAAAATCTGTCGGGTTACATAATTTGATGTTTTGGAGTTAGGTTTGGCATTTTCTTGAAAATAATTGATTTGCGACAGTTTTATTGGCTGCATGGGTGATCAGCAGCAAAAAATACTGCAGTTCGACCCCCAAAACGGTGCATCTCTGTGTGCGAGAATGAACGTGAAAATTTACCATTTAATTTAATTTATTTATAGTATCACGCTCCGGGCCTTGACTTTGTAAAAGAAGTAACTCACCAAAAAACTGTTTTCAATCAATCACAATCTCATCATATAAAATTTTGTCCTTGTAATCCATAGGCTACATATTTTTCTGCAGAGCACACCCAGGGTTTAAACTCTACTCAGAATTTTTTTTAAGGAATCCGCGAGATCAAGACAGAAGACCGTATTCGCGAGACAAGACCCCTATTATTATAATACACTGTTTAACAAATAGATCTAGATCTAGAATGCTGAAATAAAAACCACCAATTTATCAAAGCAAGGTTATTTCATACGCTGCGCGTATTTCATATCAATTTGAGGGTTTAGAAGACCATTTCAAATAAGGGTCACTTACCAAATAATTACAATTTTGATTAAGCCTAATCTAGATCTAGATCTAGATATATCAACAGAGAGTGGTGGTTTAGCGGAGGTAATGGCGGTAGCTAGCGGAAACCCGCTAAATAGCGGAATATTGAGACCCTTGGCCTTGGCCTTGTGCTTGTTAATAGTAGGCCTACACTCTACCCTTTCATAAGAATGGAACATTCAAGATGGTGAAACATTAATTCCATAAAGAAATTGTTAAGTACTGTGCATGGAGTGTGGAGTAGATTTCTAGATCTAGATTCTAGACTTAGAATCTAGCTAGACCTTAGATTTAGTTGACGACTTTCTCCTACCTTCGCCTTTCCAAGTCTCGATGATGAAAGACGAGGGGGGAGGGGAGGAACTTAGTTTTGAAGAAGGAAATATGGATCTGTGGGCTTTCTAATCTTATCCAAAGGAATGCAACACGAGATCTATCATCAGAAATAAATTAACACGTATACCAAAGATAAAAGAACATAGAAAATTGACATGACGAGACATACTTTCTTATTTCACCCGGTAACCGATGCATGAAGTCAGTTGTGTCGAGTGTCGGGAGACGTGTAAAGGGAGTTTACAATGAAATTAATGCCAACTGCTCGTTTCTACTTTTCATATAACTCTTCTGCAAGTTTTGGAGAAGCGAGATAACAATAATTAGGGGAATAAATTAGGAGTAATAAATCACTGATTTCAAATTTTAAAAAATTAATTCAATTTTTTTCCCAATATATTGGAACTGTTTGTGCTACAACAATCGAAAACTGCGGTCATGTCTTATAATGCTATTTTATTCGTTAACGAGATTGGTCCAACATTTTAAAAACTCACCAGGGAACAAAACTCGCATTCGATTGTTGTGTACACAAAGACGGAAGTTCTCGTCCCTGGTTTCCACAAAAAGAAAAACAAGAGCGGCAGATGTTTACTACTGTGGAAAGGAAAACGTACACCGTTACACGAAGAGGTAGCCGGACTTCGACTACGCCACTACGGTAAGGCGAAACATTTATTTTTTTAAATAATGCCTTTTATTCATTTCTTTGTTATGTATTCTTTTCTCTCGAGTGCCTCCTCGGCCTCTCTCAGAATCGTTTTTCGCCCTTCTGCAAAGGTTGTTTGTAAGTGTAAGATGTTGGACTGGAAACAAGAAGATAAGGCGACAGACCAATTCACGCGCACACAGTCAGAGCGACTGTGACTGGTTACGCTCTCTGTGATTATTTATATTTAGAAACAGTAGGGTAGGATAATAAAGCCTTAACTGCGCGTCATGGTCCGATACAACTGACAGACCAACGCAGCAGCTGTTTTGGACACTTTTGCAGAAAATAAAATGAAAAGACCCATGTTCAGCGCCAGCAGTACCATACGGAGGGTGAGAAGAGCAAGAGAAGAGGGGGAGAAGAGTGCGTGGATATCAGATCAGTCTTCAGTCACCAACTGGCTCAGTCCGCTCTTGTCAAGCCAAGTGAAGTCATTCACACTGCAAGCAAGTTTTCTGTGTGAACTAAGTCTGAGTATGACCCAGCTGTGTTTTGTTTTTGTTGTTTGTTAGCCAAAGACAGTGTAGCCTTGGCCTTGGACTAATTTTACTGTCAGCCAAGATCTAGATTCTAGATCTAGATCTAGATTAGATCTAGCTAGATCTATAGTATATCTAGATCTAGATCTAGATCTAGATTTAGATTCTAGATCTAGAAATCTATATCTATACTGTATATATAGGAAAAATACTAGATCTCTAGGTCCTATCATGCCCGATCTATTTTAAGTCAAGAAATAATTTCTACTGGGTTTGGATCTCGGGATTCTAACTTGAATGTCTAGACTTGATTACATAGATCTAGACAAGATCTAGAGTCTAGATTATCTGAAAAATCTAGATTTAGTAGTGTACATCTAGATCTAGGGACTAGGGATGGCCTTCACTCAGTCAAGTGATTTGACTCATCTGGTATTGTCAGAGGTAGCCTACTTATCTTGTCCTCACCTTGGGCGTTGTTGGGTTCCATTTTATAATAACTTTTGTGGGTTTTTTGTAAATTATTCTTTAAAGAATCACATCCTCCCCCATTCCATTTTTGGGGACGAAGCTCCGCTAATATCCTACCTTTACCTGTCCTGGAGTTGGAAAGCTTCTGTACTATTCCTCACATCTTCTCTGATGGACGCAAATGGAAATTTTTCATGATATTTAATTTGTGAGACCGGCTGACAAAATGGGTTACGCCTAGACAGGCTACTTCTTGCAATCTGTCAACGAATAGAGAGATTTGAAAATTGAAATTGGCGTAAAATTTGTTGACTTTTCGACTGATAATGAATGCCATTTTCTGAAATTTAATCATAAATCATGTAGGCCTATCATTTCATACCATTATAATAAATTGTTGTACAAACTCAACCTATAAGTCTGAGATTATCTATAATTTTCATCCTTCAATAATAAACCAAGAAGTAACTGATATTAATAAATCTACTTTAAATGTTATCAGCACACTTCACTTTTATAATATAGTGTTTCCTTTTTATGATCTCTGGGTATATCAGCATGAAGTCGTATTCTGTGGATTGGTTACTACTGTTGATTGCACTCATATGTGACTTCGTAAAATATTTTCAAGATGCAAAGATGTGAGTGTCCTTTTACTGAAACTTTTTTGGCTACTGAAGCACTGATGTTTTATACTCTCGAGTAATATTTCTCAATTGGCAGATACACTAGGAATCATAAAATATCGTTTCTATAATTCTGTATGGCTATTGACCAAATAAAAGTGGAGATGATCTTTTAGTAAAACTGCAAGGAGTATTTTGAACTAGAAACTAGATTAAAATAAAAGACCACTAAAGAATTCGTTGGCCAGCTGTTCAGATTTTACTTTATCTAAGCCCAAAAATTTTTTTAAATGATTTTTTTGTTGCAGTTTCAAAATCTCTCGTATTAGTTGTATGTGTCTCCAGAAATATTTTGTCAAAATTCTAATTTTAAATGTTGAAAAAGGCAAGAAAAGATGCATACATTTTTAACAGTAGGTTCTATTTTTTTTAAAATGAAATAATTCCTCTCTCCTGAAAAAAAAACTGCTCTCTGGGCCTAGAACGTTTGAACAGCTTTCCGACAAATTATATTTTTTACTAGACAGACTGGTCATTGGGCATGTTATGAATGAATGTATTACAGGTAAATACACTTTAAATTATAATTTATAACCATGATGACTAACTAATATAATCCAGGAAGTTGAGGTTTTGTTTCAGCATGCTCTCGGGTCTGCTGGGGTAATAGTATAGATTGTGAAGCACATGTATGCAGCTTGCTATTGCTGTTTAGCAGGGATTTGCACTATACAAATGTTGTCTATTAACATGTTATTATTATTATAAGCAAAAGGTAGGTCACAAGTAACATTTCAGATTTCTAACTTTCTAGAATGTTGCTAATAATCGTAAACCATCAAGCATTGTACACATAAATTTCTATTCACTTTCTGTTGTGCCACCAATGATTTGACTTGTCTATGAAGAATTGATTTAAAACAAACACATCAATAAATTTGCTTAAGCAGCAAGTTCAACTTATTTTCTTGCCATAGGCTATGCATCATGACCAGTTTCAATAGACGATTGGTTTTTATATGGGTCGTGGTTGCTTTTAAAACTCCTTTCGCAGATATCCCCACCTTTGGCAAAGACTCATGAATACGTACGCAGTATAAATATAGGCCTATGAATTATAAATGGATAGATATTTACATTTAAGCTTCACACTGATGAAGTGGGAATTATTATTACTTTTCAGTTATTGATTAAAGTGACAGCATGCCTTGTGATGGATTGAAATGTGTGTTTTCTTGAATCCGTCTTCAAGCAATGAAATAATCCAAAGTGTGCCTCTTGCGCTTAATTTTGTTTTCTTTAAATGAATACACTTTTGACTCTCTGATCTTACTCCTAGTCTTTACAACAGGTTGCGACTGGTGCTGTTTTATAGTTTAAATATGCTATCAAAGCTTTGTGGCAATGCCGCAATGCAGTAAAGATTCAAATTGAAGCCTGTGGTTCTGCACTTGCGCCCCAAAACAACAAACTCCACTCAGACATGCCCTCACAAATTGTTTTTGTGTTGTTTTTGTTTTGTTGAAAATCAAAACTTCTATATTCCCTCTACTGGTCTTAATTTCATCATAAAATAAAAACAGGAAGCCATCGTGTTAAAGCTGATTTGGGCCCTTTGAAATCTGGTTTAAGAACCCGCTTGTTTCTCTGTCTCTCCATGACTGGGTTCTTACGCAGAGACTACAGGTCCCGTCCGTCTTTAATGTTAGTGAAAATGCACATCTTTTGAGCTCATTATAAGCTTATTTCATCTTTCGGGACCTGAAGAATCTCAAACACGGTCTTTTGTTCTTGGAATTCAAACAATTTACCCCCCCAGAACAGCCCTGGTATTAATTTACCCTTAACCGGCGCTATCGTGTATTTTATACTTCGAGGTCGTTCGTGACCCAGACACGCGTTATTTATGTGTGGGGTTGGTTGGTTAGTAGGAGGGGTGGGGGTGG